TGGTTTTCATAACAGGGAAGTGAGATTGTCAGAGGAGGAAGGAGAAGATGAGAGGATGAAAACAAGAAGTTGGAATGATGCCAGGAAAGGGTCATGAGCTCAGGTGGTCACCAGGAGCTTAAAAAAGGCAAGGAGATGGATTTCCGCCTAGATCCTGCAGAAGTAACCAGCTCTGCCATCACCTTAATTAAAGCCCAGTGAAACCGTGTTGGATGTCCGGTCTATAGAACTATACGATAATAAATTACTGTTGTTCAAGCTACTAAGTCTGTGGTAATTTTCTATGGTGGTAACAGGAAACTAATATAGAGCTGGAGGACACAGAACGTCAAACTTCCTAATTTCACAGGTCAGGAAGCATACTTAAGTCCACAGAGAGGAAGGCACTTGCCCCAGTCACTCAGCTAATGAAACCAGTATAGTACTTAGCAACTGGCTTCAGAATCCTCTAGAATGGGTTTAAATTCCAGGTCCACCACTTAATACATGTTTGACCTTAACAAGTTATTCAGTCTTACTCCACTTCTGATTGTCACAAATTGTACCTTTCTCATAGGGTCTGAGTGAGAATTGAATGTAATAACGTATATGAAGGACTTAGTTTCATGCCTTCTACATGATAAATGCTCAATAGATGGTAATGATTTTTTATAGTTTATATCTTTGTTTTATTTGCTAATATCTCAAGACCAGGCAGAACACACACCTTCAGTTATCAAGACTAACGTCATTTCCAGTGCATCAAAGTTGCCTCTCCTAACTGGCATCTAATTTAAATTTCTCTATTGCTACAAACGTTTTTTTTTTTTCCCAAACAGCAAGCTAGATCTCACTTTGAGAGTAGACACTGATCTATAAGCCACATTACTATTGCTTTGGTCCCACCAACTTGAGTGAATGGCTGACTGTGTGCATAGCCAAAGGCATCATTCCAATTTGTTTTTTCTATGTTTTACCTTCATATTACCCCCACAGCCCACAAAGGCACCCGTTTCATCATGATAGGGTTCTCTCAAGCTCTCTGGATGTAAGAGTCAATACAAGCTTTTCCAGCATAGGGAGAAAATAACAACAAAAAAGCCAACATCAGTAACAACAAAAGGTTTTTAATATTGGCTTTCTGCATTCATTCCACAATCCTTCAGAGTATATAAGGAAAAGAAACAAAATCTAGCTTTCACATGCTATCAGCAAGGAAATAAGAATCCTGTCATTTTGCAGGAAGATATTAATATTCAGATACTCACCTTTCTTCTCTTTCACATTGGACACTAGGATTCATGTTGTGCTTTGCTATAATCCTACAGCTTCCATTCACTAAATGATATGACTTCAGCTTTCATAGTCTTTGTGAGGACAGAGGAAGAATATTGGAGGCGTGTGGCTCCAGAGGATCTCAGGTGTACCAGCTAAATACTCATCAGAATGGGCCACACTGCCTAATCTTTCTCCCGTCTTACAATCTTTGTTAGGAGAAATGATTCTTGTCCTGCTCTTTCTGTTCTCATTAGCGCTCTTTTTTAAAAAAAAAAAAAAAAAAAAATTAAGGCAGAAGAGCTGACTACTTTATCTAAGTGATGACCTGTAACAGCATAGTGTGTGGCTTTGACTTTTTTGATGGATTCTATTAATATAATGCAACTGGCTTATTATTTCTAGGTTTTTATCCCCACAACTCCTTTTTAACAGTATCCCTGAGCATCTTAAAAGAGAAAAAGAGGCATTGTGTTCAATGAGCTCTGTATTTTAAAAAAAAAATCAAAGAAGTCCAGAGATGAGAAAGAAGTTATCAAAGGGGAAGTGATCACCCACAGAGATGTCTGCAAGGTAGTAGGGCCAGAATGCAGGTATACTAAAGCAAAGGAAATAGGGCCACTGACAAGATGGGAAACAGGCATTAGGGGATAGATGCTAGAATGTACTCAAGCCTGAAAGCTCCTCTACAGTTGAGAGTATCTGAATGACATTCCTTTTTTCCCAAACAGAGAAGGATTGGGGGTTCAGATTTCCCAGATGACAAAACAGTCCTCTGCATCAAAGTATTTACCTGACAGGTTCTCTGTTCTCATTTTACCACCCCATGCACAGATTCCAGAAATGCTTCACTGATTCGTGTTCCTGTGATCTTTTTCTGCTCAACAAACCACCCTAAATTTTAGTGCTCAGAACAATGACCACATGTATGCTTGCAGTCTGTTCAGGGCTGGTGGGGAAAGTGGCACTCCAGTCCCCTCATGTCACCTGGGGCAGCTTGATGCTCACATGTCTGACAGTTGATGCTGGCTGTCAGGTGGGACCTCAGCTGGGGTTGTGGCCAGAACATATGGCCACATGTGGCCTCTCAGTGTGGCATCTTGACTTCCTCACAGCACGGTAGTTGTGTTCACGGTACAAACATCCAAAGAGAACCAGGCAGAAGCCATTTCATATTTCAAGAGAGGAAGCATAGATCTCACCTCTTGATGAAGGAAAGCTTATTTTACATCATGTTGCAAGAAGAGCATGTGAGATGTGCCATCTTTACAAAATATACCCCCAATTGGGTTACAATTTGTATTCTGGAAACTAGTAAATCTAGGTACAGACATACTTCATATTAAATCCTTTGTTATACAGCAATTCTTTAAGGTTTTATATCTAAGACACCAACTTTGTTAAATTTACATTTGCAAGTCTTGACATCTGGCCGGATGGGCCAACGCAGAGATAACTAAAACAAATTTAGGCTCAGAAATTTGCATTCATTTGGAATGTAGGAAAAAATGGTTAGAAGTGATTTTCCACAATGCATAAAAGGAGGTTAAGTACTTGGTGAGGCTGTAACAATACTTTTAGGACACTCTATTATCATTTCCTAAATTGGTGCCTTGGTAAATGTGAAGGTCAGAGTCATTAAATTGTACACTGCTGGTCTGGAAAAAAATTCCTAAGCATACAGCAAATTTTGTACTAATGTAACAGAGAAGTACAATCTCAAGCTTGAGACAAATAAATAAATAAATAAAAATCCTCCTAAAGCATGCAAAAAAAGACTAAACTCTTCACAATGAACTAGAAAGAGAACTGAATTCTAGATCTAGATCTATTTCTATCACTTGTTAGTTTAAAGTCTTGGACAAATATTTTTTCCTCTCTAGGATTGATATCTTCATCTAAAAATCAGGAAACTGAATGAGTAAAACATGTCAAGTTTTTTTTTTTTTTCCACTCTAACAGTTGCTCACTCAAAGTGACATGGGATCCACTGCTTGAATTGAACACAGCTTCTTTGCTCTACAAAACCTCTGAGCCCCACCATCAATGACTGTTGCAACGCCCCAGAAGTAGAAGTCTCCTGGATGTCCATATGGAAAATAAAAGATGTCCTCAGAGAAAGAAGATTATGTTGACCACAGAGTCTGATTACAATGATGACAAAAAGAGAGAAAAAGTTGGCCTTGCCTGTGAGCTCCCACGGAACCTCAGACCTAAGATGGGTCCGCAAGAATGATGCAGTAAGCCCCTCCTCTCAGCCACTTAAAGAATAATAAATAGTCAAGGAAGCAGATTGTGGATTTAGGTTGCCCTAGGTTCCGAGTACAGAGTCATCAGTACCTAGCTGTATGGCTTTGGACATCAATGTTCCTGATATTTTTCTGTGAATCAGTTTCTTTATCTGTTAAAAAAAAAAAAAAAAGAGCGGGAGGGCCTTTAAACCATTGCAATGTTCTGAAGATTAAATAAGCCAGCACATACAAACCACTTAGCACAGTTTCTGGCACACAGTAATTATTTGATAAACCTGAGCCCTGTGTCTGCTGTTAAGCTCAGCAATTCTGGCTCATCGGTGGACAAGATCATCCTCACAAAATGGGTATATAATCATTATCTGCAAGAATTGGGACAGATTCACCAAGGAAATTCTCAAAACAACTATTTTTTGTCACTAGTCTAAGAATGGTCACACGTAGCCATAAACTAGAACACAAGGCCCGGAAACTGACCTCAGTATATGTAAATTACTGTTTGATAAATACTGAAATTTATAATTGTTTGTTTCTCGGAAAATCTGTTATATACATGTTAGGAGATTCTGTAAGAACAGGAAGACACCACAAAAATAATATAATTTGTAGTTGAACTATATTCTGGTTTTATACACTTTTTTTGTCTCTATCTGAACTAGGAAACTATTGATCTCCAGAGTTAATGTGGTTCCTCTTCTCCAGATACTCGGTAAGGCCTGAAAGATTGATACAATGTTGTGGGTTTAAATGAGTTGTTCTTTACAGTAAGAGAAGTAAAAAGAGTTGTTTTTGGTTTTCTAACCATAATATACCTATCTAAAGCAGGAAACTAACTTGATATAATAATATTAAAACTAGTCTGCAAATTGTATTAAAATCCCCCCATTGTCCCATTAGTTTTCTTTTTCTGGTCTAAGATCAGTCAATATTCCCACATTACATTTGACAGCGTTATCTGCTTATTCTCTTTCAATCTGAAACAGTTCCCTCATCCGTTTTTCTCATGGCCTGGACACGGTTGAAGAGTACTAAGTAGCCAATGACTTTGTAAAATGTCTTTGAACTTGAATTTGTCTAATGTTTTCTTATAATTAGATATAAGATATAATTTTTAGCAGTAAGACCTGAGAAGTGACGCTGTAACCTTCCCAGTGTATCATATCAAGAGGTACCTGATGTCTCTAAGGCTCATTATGAGACCACACAAGTATCTTGTTTCTCATCACATTTTACCCTAATATTTTTAGCATCTGTCAATGATTCTTGCCTGAAACATTTATTACAGAGGTCTTTGCAAAATGGTGACGCTGCATTTCCATCTTCGTGCCATTCCATCATGCTGCCCATTCTCCTGTGTTTGTTTATTCAATCCAGCTACTTATTTATATCAATATGGACTCATGGATATTTAAGAATTACAATCCCCTGTGGTACCAGAATTAAAACTGATAATGGGATATATTAGGATATATCAGAATAACAGACTCTCTTCCAAGTTGGTTTCTGTGCCCTTTCAACATGACCCCCCTCAGTTTTTGAGAACTTCCTTACTTTATGGCATAGCCTGTCTCAAGTTTACCTTGGGCTTTCGCTACTTTGGCCTTGGACCCAACCATTTCTTTAGGGATCTCTGGTATTTTTAATTGAAGAATGGTATTTATAAACAAGATATGGGCACAAGATGTGCTCGTTTCTACTGGGGTGCCACTGCTGCCAGGCCCTCTCAGGAAACAGAGGTAGGTAATACAGGCATATACACGTAGACGTGCATGTCTGTAGCCATTTGCATATACATTAAAAGCCATGAGTTCACACTGGTATCTTTTATTCTAATCCAACACAGCGGGGTTCATTCTAGCTTCCTTTTATCCCTTACTAGTAATTTTTATCGCTGACAATGAAAAACCTGGCTCTTATTACCCAAAATACATTTAATTATTTTCTGAGTCCTATTATGTATCTAAATTAGCTTCAGAACTATGAAAAATCCCACAAATTTATTAGCTGCTGTACAATATCTGGGGTATAGTTTTTTTTGTCTTCCACCTTATATTATATAGTCAAATATTATTTTTCAAAATTACTTGCATTCATTTTTTTCTTCCTCACCCTCTTCACTGTGGTTGTATTATTTATTTGTAATACAGTTAAAATTATTTGTCACTGTCTATATTGCATTTTGTGTTACATATTAAGGTTTATTTAAAGTATTTATTTAGTTTTTGGTATGGGAAGCATTAAGATGTAATAAGAGTCAAGTCTGTAAAAAAAGTTACTTTCAGAGAAATGGTGTTCCCCTCGCATTCCTTCTACCTTATTTACCCATTTTTTTTCACCTCTCTCTACCCATCTCTTTTAGGCAACACTAATTTGTAACAGAGTTTTGCGCTTCCAAAAATAAGTTTGTAACCTGAGATGTGGTTGGTGTGGCAAGTCACAACCACTGCTTCCATGAACTTGGGTACCTACAGCAAATGCTCCTTCCCCCTTCTCTTCTTCCCTCTCAGACTCACTGACATTCACCAAGGAAGAGTTTGGCTTTGTGCAAAAGCCTCTCTATTTCAAAAAAAGGAGATCAAAACATAACCCCCCAAAATATCGTCATTCATTCATTCATCCACTCATTCACTCACTTATTCATGCATTGATTCAAATTGAAGTCACATCACCAAGCAGGTTTTGACCCATATTCGAGAGTAAACAGCAATGCAACTCCATAACTTACGAAACACAGAATGCCAATGCTTAGGATTCCCCAAATGATGGATTTTTGGACACTCACCATTGAAATTAACATTGCGGATATACTTCAACAACTTCTTGCCTCCGGCTTGCTCCATCTCTGGGCAGACACCTCGGTAGTCAGCGCAAAGATCCTTGTTCATGTGATGAAGGGCGTGAGCCATAGCGTAGACAGCGTCGATCACAAACTGAACTTTACCCTCCTGCTCATAGTTGGAATCTTTTCCAATTCTCTCCTGTCCTGCACATTAAAACAAGAAACATACAAAAATTGGTGTTGAGTAGAATGTCTAAATTTGCATTTATTTTCAGTCATGCTTAAAGAAAACAGTGCTTTGAAGACTATACCATGGCAAGCCACATCTAGCTAACATGATAGGCTGTCTTCACAGTTTTTGGCATTTTACTCTGGAGCACGGTACACTAATCTTTCTGATGTATTAGATCAACTTAAGAAGCAGGACTCTAAAGAATCACAATGATAGATTTTGCAATAAGCCAACCCACTATTCAAAAGATAATCCCACAGAATCAAAGGATCTTTGGGATTAGAAGCTGGGTCGCCACATCCAAATCTCCAAAGCTTGCTTACTCTAGAAAGGCCAAAAGGAAAATGATAAAAAAGTAAATAAATAAAACCTAAATTCTACACCTGACATTGTTATTTTCTGCATGTCTACTCTACCTTCTACGTCGCCTATCTAAATTGCTGGTATTACTGGAGATTCAGATGCTTAGCTGGAAACCTTGGTGTCATTTTTCATTCTTTTTCTCACTCCTCACTCTCACATGCATAAGTCTAAATAATAGCAAAGTTCTATCAGTTGTACATGTGAAACACTGAATATTTTCAAACACTCTACCCACGGCCTATTTATGCCTTCCTCATCTCCACCGGGGTGCAGCGCTCAGTGACTCCCTCCGTCCATTCATTCTTCCATGTTCATCTTTGCAAATACAGAGCCCATCACCCCACCCCCACGCTCGGAACCTTCAATGGCTCTCCACTGCCTACACAACAAAATCCAGTGCGTGCTCGTCCTTTTGCCCCTATCTGTCTAATAAAGATAACAAATGACGCTAATGAAGTGTCCACACTGAGTTGGAAGCTTTGGATACAGAATTTTTATGTCATCTTCACTTCGTGAGTTAAATATTTTCTATCCTCATCAGACTGATGGAAATGCTGAGCCTTACGGAGATTAAATTGCATTCCCAAGATCATTTACAGGCAGAGCAATGATGACAGCTCAGGCTTGGCAGACCCTAAACCCACATTCTTCTGATTACATTGGGCCTGTCCACCCTTCCCCATGTTTTTTCTGTTTTTCTTCTATTGTTTTTGTTACCCTATCTTTGCTCCTGCTGTTTACTTTGCCGGGGTTGTCCTTCCCCTTTGCTTTCACCCATCACAACTTTATTCTCATTTGATGGGACAACCCAAAAGGTTTCCTACACTGAGTCCCTCAGGCACGATTAAACATTTCCTAAAACATTTCAAACCTCCATGACAGCATCCTCAACAGCACTGTATTTTAATGATCTACCAGGAGGTGTCCCAGACAATTTTCTTTTCTTTTTCTTTTTTTTTTTTTTTACCCTTAGATCCCCAGCACTGAACACAGCATTTAGTATCTAGTAGATATTAAACAACATTTGTTGTATTAAATTATGCATTCACTAAGTACACGATGCCAGCAGCTCTCTCTAGACCTCTTGTCCCTCTATGAAGAATATTATCCACAGATTGCAATTCACTTTGACAGCAATATCTTCCAAATTGTTTTATATGGCACATTTGTGTAGTGAAGAAACAACAGGAATTCTACAATTCCAACCTTTTCTGCAAAATACGCAAAGGGTTCCAGAGAGCCACAGTGTTACAAAGTTTTAGGTTTCATTATTGAGGGAGTTTTTCAGAGCATTCAACATTATAACATAAAATATAATCTCCAAGAGGGAAATTCAGAATTTCCCAAATCTACCTGAATTTTTATTTTCCCTCCTCAGAGCACACATTAATGTGTCATATGCCAGAGACTTCTGTGTTTTATATGTATCTCATTTAAATACCAATCAATCTTATGCTCACTGTTTGTCTCCGTGTCTAGGGTTTTTCAGTGTGTGTAGAGTAGAATCTTTTATTTAATTCAATCCTTTGTACTGAAAAATTTTTTAAAGAAAATTTCATCATGAATCCATATTGCTACTTTCCATTCAAATTCAGGACTTCGGGGTATTTACTTAACTTTGACTCTCTTAATATCTCTACCTCTTTTCCCACATGAGGAAAATGCTGGTTCTTAATGATGTGTTGTAATTATTCATTTTATCACATAATATACAGAAAACATTCTTAAAATAACAATAATGTCTAACAAATAGTCTAAAAAGCATAGAACAGCCTTGTGCACTGTGTATGTGTGTTTTTCAATTTTTGCCAGGGTATTTTGGGGATATATTTTGAGAAATGGGAATGCTTTGTTAAAGGGCAAATTCATGTATACTGGCAAATTCCCCTCTAAAGGAGTTGCACCGTTTTGCTGTTCCACCAGCAATGGATGAGAATGTTTGTTTCCCTACAACTGCACCAAGAGAGTATGCTGTCAACCTTGAATTTGCATCAATCAGATAGATGAGAAATGATATTCTGGTATGGTGTATTTTTGTTCACATTTTTCTTATTATGGGGGAAATTGAACTTCTTTGCATATGAAAAGATGCAATTTATTTTTCTTTTTCTGTAAACGGTTCATAATCTAGCCAATTTTTATAAAAAGCTATTGATCATTTCCTTTTCCATTTTAAAAGTTCTTTATTAATTAGATATGTTAATTCTTTAAGAACAAGTTGCAAATATTTTCCCCAGTTTGTTGTTATTCTTTTACTATCTTTAGGTATTTTTTCCAAATAAAACTTTATTCATTTATTTTTTATAACAAAATTTATCGATCTCTTCTTTATTACTTCTGGATTTTAAATCATGGTTAGAAAAATGTTTTTCTACTTTTGGGATATAGAAGATTCCATCCATGTTTTCTTCTAGTATTTGTGTAATCTTATTTTCTAAAGTTAAATATTTGATCTACTTGGAGTATATTTTGGTGTACAGTATGAGAAATGAACCAAAATTTTATCTTTTTTCATATAGTGATCCAATTGTCATATTATAATACGTAACAGTTCATCCTTTCTCACTGGCTTGGGGTGCTGCCTTTTACTATATAGTAAATATTCACATGTAATTGGGTCCACTTCAGGATTTTAAACTTCTGTGATTGATTCTATTCATGCATCAACACCAGTTTCAAGTATCAAGGCTTTGTAGCATATTTTAGTAACTGGGAGAGTTAGCCCCTCTCCTGACATAATTATTGATCTTTTTTAGATTTTCTTGGTTAATTTTATTTTCTTAAATGAACTTACCTTATTAACCATTATATAGCTCCAGAAAAAGCTAAACGAAGAACTCGATGGGCTCTTTGTTGGGTTTCTGTTGCATTTAAAAGTAAACTTACCTAGAACAGAAACGTTGATGAGGTTGGGTCTTCCTGTCTGTGTCTTTTCATTTGCTCAAGTCTACATTTGCTTCCTCTAACAGTGTTTAAGGTTTTCTCATACAGGTTGTGAGTGTTTTTTGTAAAGTTAGCCAAGTTATTTCATTTATTTTTGCTATTATTAATATAAACATGGTGCTCTTTTTCATGTTTCTTCTCACTGGTTTTTGGTCGTGTATATAAAAGCTATTCTTTGTCATGTTGTGGCTGCTTTATTATTTTCCAACTTTCTATTATGAAACATTTTGAACATAAAGCAAGGTTAAAAGAATTTTACAGTGAACCCAACAACTAGATTCTAACATTGTCATTTTACTATATTTATTTTATAAGGCTGTTCATTTTTAATACTAATTTTATAACCTGCTTCTTTATAAATGTCCTTACTTTTTATAGTACTTAGAAAAGGCAATCTTGGAGGCATTATGACTATTATAAAATATACACTATGAAATACATTCAGACTAATAATTCAGGAGAGCAATTTTGAGACTGCATTAATAGAGACAATCAGCCTGGAAAGAATGCCTCGAAAAATAGTTGTGCTATTTTATTTTATTTATTTATTTTTTAGACAGAGTTTGGCTCTCTTGCCCGGACTAGAGTGCAGTGGTATGATTATAGCTCACTGCAGCCTCCAACTTCTGGGCTCAAACAATCCTTCTGACTCAATCTCCCAAGTTGCTGAGACTACAGGCGTGTGCCACCACATCTGGCTAATTTTTAAATTTTTTGCAAAAATGGGGGTCACGCTATGTTGCTCAGGCTGGTCTCAAACTCCTGGCTTCAAGTGATCCTCCCACCTTAATCTCCTAAAATGCTAAGATTATAGGTGTGAGCTACCATGCCTAGTCTATTGCATTGTTTTAAATAAGAAAATATTATATGATTTGTGAAACACTGTAGGCTTTTATCCCTCTCTTGGAGAGTCACCGCTATGTTAACATATTAAAGGCTCTGAGAAGACTTATGGGTTAAATTTGTCTTTGGTGCTAATAGGACTTGAAAATATAGCCTTACATCAAGAGAATTAGGAGTGGCAAGTTCATTACAAAAAAAAAAAAACTTGAATTTTATTTTCCCTAGTGTGGCAGACACAATTATTTGCCATCTTCAGAGTATCTGGATATTTATCTACCACCCTCACTCCTTTACCCCCAGCTGAAATCTGATTATGTTTAGATATTGGCAGTCACCAATGGGAGTGAGGATTTCTGGACCTTTCATGAGCCTCACTGAGTCAATCCTGACTGGTGTGAGCCAATCCAATTTCCTCTGCAAGCACTGATTTAGGAACAGGTATGGGATACAATTCTAGCCAATGAGATGTAAGGAAAGAATTTGCTGGGCAACGTCTGAGAAATTGTATTTGCTCTTACAAAGAGATTGGTCGATTGTATCAAAAGTCCCTCCACTCCCCCCACACACACCCTCAAATAACTCTAGTCATTTTGTAGTCCCCAAGGAAATCACACAGCATAAGGATGGCAATAGAACAAACATGTGGTGGGGACATGAAAATGCAACTCGAGCTGAGAGTTACCCAAGCCTGAAATCACCCTATGTTTGTTTTTTCCATGTGACATATTAAATGGCTTAGTCACTTACTAAAGCTTGATATTCAATATTTCCCTGGTTTATTTAACCGGAAAATATACTTCTTAATCATGTACCCTTTACAGCA